GTGTACATGAGATTGACTTAGTTCCTGGAACTAAATACTGTGTAACACGGCAGTGGCCTTTGCCTAAAGAACAGTGTGACGTCATTGACGATTTCTTTCGTGCTAAGCACGCGGCTGGAATGGCTTGTGAGAGTAAATCTCCCCATTCAACACCGACATTTTGTGTCAAAAAGCCAAATGGCAAGTGGCGTATTGTGCATGCTTACAATAAGCTTAGTGCAGCCACTATACCGGCGCAGACGCCTATTCCTAGAAAGGATGTTCTTCAAAACAATATGGCGGGATGTACATTGTACAGTGCACTCGACTTAGTCGATGGTTATTACCAACTGCTCATGCGAGCAAGCGATATTCCGCTAACAGCGGTGAGTACTCCGAGCGGTATGCTTTGGGAGTGGCTCGTTATGCCGCAAGGGCTATCTAACGCCCCGGCTACATTTAACCGGTTGGTAACGCAACTATTCAGACCTCATCGAGGCTATGCACAAACGCACTTTGATGACATTTTTGTCCATAGTCGTGCAATGAATGGGCGATCAGATGTGGATAACCACATCGATCATTTACGAGCTGTGCTCGAGTGCATGCGAACGAATAAGCTGTATGCGAACGCATCGAAGTGCATCTTTGGTGCAGAAGAGATTTCCTTTCTAGGGTGCTTCATTGGGAAGCGAGGCCTTCGAGCGCATCCCGCTAAGGTAAAAGCCATAGTCGATTGGCCAGTCCCCAAGAACCAAAAGTACTTGCGTAAGTGGCTTGGCCTTGCCAATTACTTACATAAGTACAGTGCAAATTACGCGGATATGGCTCGGCCATTGTCCAATCTCCTTAAAAAGGATGTGGGTTGGTGTTGGGGTAACACCGAACATAATGCTTTTGAAGCAATTAAGGAGAGTCTCCTTCATGCGCCAATATTGTCTTTGCCCGATCCTGGTCGGCCTTTCAGTGTCGTCTGTGACGCATCTGACTTTGCCATACGCAGTGCTCTGTTACAAACAGATGTCGACGGACGCGAACGCGTCATCGCATTTATATCTCGACAGATGAAAGCTGCTGAAAATAACTATTCAGTTCATGACAAAGGGCTATTTGCTATGAAGTACGCTCTGGTCAAATTCAGAGTCCATCTGCTTGGCTCGAAGCCATTTTTGATCTATACCGATCATGCATCATTGCGCACTGCGACACAGTCGCCTCACCTCTCACAGAGAATGGCTCGTTGGCTTTCTTTCTTTGCCGAACATAACTTCGAGGTGAAGTACAAGCCAGGTAAGCAAAACGCTTTGGCTGATGCGCTATCGCGTCGACCTGACTATGAGCTTGCTCATGTGACGACTCTGTCGTCGTCAGTCCCTGACTTAATTCGTGCGGCATATGCCAAGGACGATCAGTGTGTAGCTTTGCTACGTGCTCTTAGAGCAATGAGTTTAAAGACTCGGACATAGAATTGTCGGCACGTTTACGTGCGAGGCTACATCGATATTCCATTGATAATGGCCTGTTGTGCTATCACACGGATATTGAGGATGTGCCTCGCATCGTAGTACCTCATGATGAGGAATTAAAGTATCGGATCCTCTATGAGGCACATGATACTGCTTTAAGTGGTCATCTCGGTCGTGAGAAGACTTATAGCTCGGTGAGCCAAAGTTATTGGTGGCCCAAACTTTATAAGTGGGTGCGCAACTATGTGCGTACGTGCGAAACGTGTCAACGGGTAAAACCCTCGGCACATGCGGCGGCGCCGCTGGCTAGTTTGCCGGTACCCAGTGGTTGTTGGGAGTCCATGAGCATGGATTTTGTGTTTGGCCTACCGAAAGATTCGGAAGGCAACACTGGTATTGTGGTCTTTGTTGACCGATTGAGCAAGATGGCTCACTTAGCGGCTGTGCCGGATAGCATTGATGCTGAAGGTACAGCAAAGCTGTTTATCGACCGTGTCTTTCGCCAACATGGCTTGCCGGTGGCAATTATCTCTGATAGAGACCCCCGCTTCACCGGGAAGTTTTGGAAGTCTATCTTCAAGGTGCTTGACACTCAGTTGGACATGTCCACAGCGAATCATCCGCAGACCGACGGTCAAACTGAGCGTGTAAACCGCGTCATCAACGACATTTTGCGCAGTGTTTGCGCTGATACACCTAGGCGTTGGAGCTCAATGCTCCCTGTTGTTGAGTTTGCGTTGAATAACGCTGTTCATGCCTCAACAGGCTTTACTCCGTTCTATATAAACGGTCTCACTCACCCTCGCGTTCCGTTAACGCTATCACTACGTGAATCAGGGCTTGGTGGGGGAGAGGTTGCCGATCGGCTTGCTGATATCAGCCCTGCTACTCTTCGAAAACAGGTAAGCGAGTTTCTCGCATCGCGATTAAATGTCATAAGACATGTGCGTGACGCAATGGCTGATAGCCAAGATAACCAAAAACAACAAGCTGATGCCAAAGGCAGAAATTGTATTGAACGTTATGAGGTCGGAGACCAAGTACTACTCAATGCTAAAAATCTACCTACAAATGTAGTGTCTGCTGTCTTTAAGACAAAGTTGCGTCCACGCTTTATTGGACCGTTTACGGTCACGGCCAAGAAGGGACTTGCGTATACGCTAAACCTCCCGCGCAAATTGCGCACACATCCAGTGTTCTACGTAGGCTTACTTAAGCCGTACCGGGATCCTTCCCATGTGAACTTGGAGGCGCTTGCGCCGACGACAAGGGCACTGCCCCGGATTGCTGTAGACGAATCAGCAAGTCCAACTAAGCCTCGCTCTGAGTTTGAGCTTGCTTTATCGCCTGAAGGCGGCTTTGCATCGCATCCAGCATGCACTGGGACTTACCCAAGGCATCGTGAAGACCCTTCACTTCGAGAACCAATTTCTCGTGGGCCTCCACCGGTACATTGGCCGCCACCGACTTTGCTCGATGAGCATGGGTGTCGTCAATTCCATGTCGAGAGACTACTGAAACGACGTCGTCGTCAGGGCCAATACCAGTATCTGGTAAAGTGGCGTGGGTACCCTGAGTCTGAAAACTCATGGGAATTTGAGGTGCCCCTTCGGCAAGACTGCCCATATGCTTTGGAGGCTTTTGAGCATCGTGGCCATGGTCATCTCGAGGCCGAGGCCGTTCACCACCACTAGTGGTGCGGGTTGGCGGGTTGTTGGTCACAGACTGACCAGCACTCGCGGCGACCTTAGTAGCCGAAGCATAGCGCGTGCGCTTGCGCAATTGGCCTCTGGCCTTAAGCTTGGCATAATCATACCGAAGCTTGCGTTCGAGACGCACATCCGCCGCATGGGAACTAGCCCTTAGAGCAAAAATGTTGCTGAGGCGACGCACATAGTGCACCCAGTGAACAAAGGCATCGTCTTCTTCACTCGATGTTTCGCCTGCGAGCAGGAGAATGGGTATACCCTTCATCGGTGGAACTGGTGCACCACGTGCTTGCATGTCAAGGCGTGCCTTGTATTGACTTTGAGTCGTTAGGTGCGGCTCCAGGTACTCTCACGAAGTGCCTGGCAGCTCACCACCTCCTCAGGAGTCTTAGGCCCATGGCCAATGACCCACGTTGCCAATGTTTGGCCGGCCGCTTGACGCAGACGTTCCTCCACACTGGGTGGGGTGAGCACATAATCACGCTGGCGTTCAAGGGTTGCAGTCATCTGTGCATAACGCTGAGCGTTTCTTCTCTTTGAACAAGCAGTTGTTGTTGCTCATCGAGCGGGTTCGCGATGATAGTCTCATCAGAACCAGATGCTGCATGCTGCGCTGGCGGCGCGCTCGCACCTCCACGTTCAGCGAACGGATTTGGGGTGCTCGAAAGTTGTGCCTCAGGCATCAGTGAGCCGGACGTTGTCCCTGTGTCACCGCGGACACTGGTATCGCTACCATAGTCCACCTCTTCCTCTATTCCGAGGTAGTCACACAGAGCCTTTGACTCGTTTGGTGATGAGGACATCGTGCTGGAGCGTACGTTACCGTGAGGTTCACCGTACGCGCACTGTTCTCGCTGAGAACACGAGTTCGATTGACGTTTTGGCAAACGTCAGTCTGGTGGGGGAGGGTGTAACGGGGTTGCACGAAATTATGGTACTTTGTACCAGAGGTGTTACACACCTGAGGGTTCGCTTCTGTGAAGGTGATATAGAATATCTTATCGGTTTGTAGGGGCTGACGAGTGTCAGCCATTAGATACGAAAGATCTTTGAGTAGGATTAAGATATTCTATAGGCTTTAACAAAAATAAAATCAGTTCCCATTTTGATCTGAAAGACACGTGGCTTGCGAGCCGTCTTGATCGTTGATCTCTGATCACTAAGAGTTAGCGACACCTCCTTGAGGTAGCTACTCTTGAGCACTAAGTGCTGTCGATTCACTGAATCGTTAGGTCCCCTGGAACAGGGATCTGAAGCTATAAAGCTTGTTGACTCGTAGAGTCGTTAGTTCTTTAGAACTAAGTTGCTCGTAGAGCGTTAAGTCTTCCTCTGACTTAAGGAGCTGTGTAGCTCCGCTACACACAAGGTACCAAGTATCCTACGATGTGTTACCACTTTACATCTTCCCTTTCTTAGAAATCAAAAACAGCATCTGCTCATTTTTCCTTGCTTATCCAGATCCAAGTCGTTTAGCTGAAACGAGCAGAACATCCTGAGTGGGTCATAGCATCGATGTCACGCTTAATATCTCCACCTGCAAACATTTTTACCATCGTATCTATTTTTAAAAGTAGTAAAAAAGATGAAGAAATGAATCATGAAAATGAAGTTGAGGATTTTTTCTCACATTGCGTTACTGCAAAATCAGTCACGTCGCGACGTCGAATTGCAAATATTGCGTTTCAAGTCGTTGATACTGTTATTATTTGCTGATCGCTCGCTGTCTTTGTCGTCGCGTGTTTTACCGATAATTCCTTCTCCACAGCGTCCTTTTTCTTCCATTTTTCCAATTTACTTCATCCCATCGACCATTCCAAAAAAAACGTTACGTGCGACGCGTCTCCTCATGAATAGCTCCTCACTGTTCAATGACCTGCGAGTGTTGCCCGTGGACTACCACCGCCAAGTCGCTCGCGAACTCGTGACTTTCTTCCACGCTTTCTACCGCTTCGGGGCAGTCTCCAACCGCTTCGATTTGCACTCTGAAGCCTATCGCACGTTTCTTCAGAACCTCCTGCTCGGGTCGCTGATCATTGGCGTCGTCGTGTTTACGTTTCTCTGCGTCCTCGTTGTGCGCCGCACAATTCTGCACATTCAAAGGAGTAAGACGTCTCATTGATTTCTATAGTGTGACAACAGTTGGGGCCGTCTTGAGGTCCGACGTTCTTTTTGTAGACGGACCAGGCGTGACTTGTATTGTGTTGTGGGTGATGTCTGTGTGTTGTCTGTACTGGTGGTTATAGCTCAAAAATGCCGCATGGAAATGGACACGACGTCAATGGAGCTGCTGGCAGTCGCGTTGCTGAGTGTGTTGGCGATTAGCGCCCTGGGGGGACTATTGGGAGAAGCTCACGTGAAGTACAGCACCAGTGTCGTGATGGAGACCATGACCAATGCCAGTGATTTGTTCCAAGACGCACGAAGTGTGACGATGCAAAGTCTGCACACGAGTGACGCTTTGCGGATCAATGCTGACAATTTGATCACGTCATTTGACGAGATCGAATTGCCAGCTGAGGCCTTTAAGTTATCGATTGAAGCGCTGAGACTCGTGCACGCATCGAAAGATCTGTACAACCAATCGGATGCGATGCTACCGAAGAACTACTTGGATATGGCCAATGACTGGCAGCTGAGCTACTTTATGCTGGAGTCGTCGACAAATGGTGCTATTCTGGCTGTTGTGCTGGCCAGCTTCTTGTCCATCGCGTCTGTTGGGTGGGCAATGGTCTCACCCCTGCGTCTATCGATTCTAGTGATCTTAAGTGTCGTGCCGGTTTCGCACACGCTTGTTGGCGCCTACTTGTCATCGACGATCATGGTGGCGGACTTTTGTGCTGCGCCGATGAACAATACGCTCGAACTCGTGGGCTCGACGCCATTCGCAAACTACTATATTAAATGCCCTGCAAATGCTTCTCTTCCTTTTGCTGACGCCTTGGCTGGTCTTCGGCAAACTGCGGGAGAGGTGGTTCTGCTGCAGCAAGAGCTGGAACACAAAGCTTCTCACCAAGGAGACGTTGGACGTCGCATGAAAAAAGGCTTTCTGGATCCGATCGGTAATCAACTGGAGCTTGTGGATGACCTGCTGAACGAGTTTGCAGCTTTACAGAGTTGCAAGAACGTGTCGACTGCGTTCGAGGATGCTGCTAACACGCTCTGCGAGTATGGCATGCTTGGCTTCTTTTCCATGTGGGTGCACCAGATTTTGTTGTGCCAAATTTTATTTGCGTGCGTCGTGGTGTCCGTGCTGATGTATGAGCGCGTGCACGCCCGCGAGATCGACCTTGGCCAGCGCTACCATCTTGTATCAAGCTACGACGAGGATGACATGGAGCATGTCTACCTTTCGGCGGAGTAGTTGTCGACACGCTGGATTTTAGTTTGAGTACTATCTACATTTTGTGCATCTTCAGCATGGCTTTATTGAACGTTTATGCCTTGCTTCGTTCACGTGTGCCAATAACTCCGACACTCGTTCGACTTCTGCGATCATTTTCGTTTACAATGTTCGACTTCTGCGAATACCTTTATAAATCGCAACATGCTACTAGTTTCGTATACGCTGTACCAGAAGTATCAGGGCTCTCTTGAAGCTAGTACGGCCGGCACCTAAGTAGATTAAATTTGGACCTTCAAGATGAGGCTCTAGACGGAACCTCCTGTAAATCAGTCTAACACGTACTAACTCAGTCGATGAACTTCATCCGTTCCATGTAAAGTCTATAGATTGACATGTTGTCGCGCTTAGATCGATAGCCACGGTTCAAGCAATCACCACTGATGCTGGTTTCTGCGCAAGAGCTACGATAACCTCGACAGCTTTCGTGACTGACGTAAAATCGTCGACGTGGTTTCGTACAGCCATCCCACGAAGATAGGCTCGGGCTCATGGAAAATCTTGGAATTGCGACCAGTGATGAAAACTCCATCCTCAGCTACGTATCCTCCCTCCATAGGCTCAATCACAAGCAGCAAAGCTCGGCTGCCTGATACCAGCTCGACGGCTTCAGTCATGCCTGCTATCGAACGCAAGCTCTTCGGAATCACAAACAAGATCAGCTCTGCCTTCGCCTTAAGGCTTTTTAGATTCATAGACGTAGTCAGCTCAAGTCTCTCCCAGCTTCTCAACTCGCGATGACAAACCAATTTGCAAGTAGTTAACTACTGGCACAATAATGGGAATGCTCGCTTGATGTAGCATCGGTTTCGCAACGTCCTCTCGCCATGACGTCGCTATTAAACTTCCTGCCAGTTATACCGAGCCCCCTGAGTAAATACCGAGCCATTGAAGTCTCGGATGCTTCACAATAAAATGACTGGAAGTCAAAGACCTGTCTGTGTCTCTCCCAGCTTTCTTTGCTTCCGTTTGTAACATCGAAACAAGTACCTCTTCCCTTTGACGTCGACGCGTCTTGTTTTTCTTCGACACGGCAATTCGGATTGGCATTTCCCGATATTTAACTGAGCGAAGTGTGCAATGCAGGCGTCAATCGCTGATTATTCATGTCTGGAAACAGTCCTACATTTTTCTCAGTCGCCAAATCCCAAGACATTGTCGAGCTCCATTGAGATCCGCCAGCTCGGTCGGGGAGAGCACTTTGACTTCAATGTTGTGACTGTTGTCAATGTCGTCAACTGCGAGGCGCACTTTTCTGCCTCGACAGATGAATTCAATTGCCTCATTAATTGACACGACACCGCGTGAGTTGATCGACTACGAAAGGGCTAGCTAAGCCTCTTCAGTGGCTTTCGTCTCAATTTTTGTGAGCGCTTCGAACCACTCGTCCACTTGGTGGTTATAGTATGGAACGTGAACAGCGTGTAAAATGGGCATTGCGACGTCGTGTCTCCACGTCGTGGTGGGTTTGACGATCCGCCGAGAAACACGGCAATATTAACAAGTTCTTGTCGTCTTTTAACGGCCCTTTACAATCGCAAATGCACTGCGACACTTTCTTGTGCTTTAATTCGAAAGTCGTGTTATTGCCATGACAAATCGACGTGCAGGTGGAAAGCGAGCGCATGTTACCAGGGGTCTAAATAAAGTATTGAAAAGACGCGGCGCACGTGTGTAATTAAGAAGTCAGCATGCCTAGGAATATAACTCGGATAACAGCGCTTTAAAAAATAGATAACAGCGCTATGCCATTTCCCCATTGGATGTGGGTTTTCCTAATGGGTACAGCAGTCCTCCCTAGTTCCGTTAATTCAATGAATGCATTGCAAAAATAAGCTATCTTCCCGTCACGGTGAGAACTAATTTCGTGTTTTGTAAATTATATCTATTTACGCCGCTTTTCATGCAAGTTTCGAGATTACTTCAAACAGTTTGCACTGCATGCAGCCCTCCAGCGAGAAATTGATGGGTAACAGTCGCGTGTCATCCTTTTCAAGTTTTGAAATACTGAAGTTGCTCTCGACTGTACTGGTGTTGGGGTAAGCTCTAGCGATGCCACTACAAAAATCGTGCGGGCGCACAAACCGGCCTTGGACAAGACGCAGCCTTCTTCGGACAAAGGTTGACGTCGTCGCATTTGGCGGGTGCTGCAGCAAGCGATTCTTCGGTCTACACGGCGATCCTAAATTCCCCAGATTTGATCTCGATGCCGGTAATCGAACCATCGTCCCAGGATGGCTGCAAACGGCCATGAAATCGGCTAACGATCAAGGCAAAATCACAAGTTCAGAGACGGACGAGCGCGTGCGAGACAGAAGGCAGGCCATTGTCGACTAAGATGTCTTTACTGTGCTCAGCTTGGATCTCGCACAGATTGTCAACGATCGCGATGATTGTGGACGCGATTTAGAATAGGTCGTAGGACTGAGCAGCCTGATCGAGCGTCTCGAACAGCTTGGTCGCCCAGTGTCTTTGATCGGCGACGATGCCAGACAAGCTGTCGTTGCTGATGTAGAAACGGCAGATGATGAAGTTTTCAGCAGAGTTAAGTATTTCGTCGTTTACCGGGCCGGAAACGATGAAATAAGCTTATAGTTGACCCGCAAGACGACTTATCTCGGCCTTTTGCTGCCATCTAAGCATCGGTCGGCCTTGCAGCTTTTTTAAGTGATGTTTGATTGTCCAAGAAGCGCATGATAGACCGCTTACATGACCCACTACTCAGAAGATGGCGTCTTGTTCGGATCGCTCTTCTCGTTTATGAACTGGAGAAGATGGACGCGTACCCAGCAGAACGTTTATCAAGCGGCGGTAGGCCACCAGCGCGTTGTCAACTACGGGCAATTGATCCCCATCTCGGGAATCAAGGTACTCTGCTTTCGCAGCCAGGAAGCCATGCGAATGGCCATCACGTGTAAATTGCCCCCAAAGATGGCGAGGAAGGCTTTTTGATATGAATATTGAGTTGGTGAAGCCTGCAACAAGTACAAATGATAAAAAAAACAATCAAGATCAATTTGCGTCACTCCTGTGACTGGCGCCTGGTCATTGTGTTTTTTCTCCATCCTATCCATAGTTGAACAGTTCTGAGCGCCACATTGGAACCAGCGCGTTCAGAAACTTGACCAACCAATTGTTGGAAGTATGGCAATCGAATGTTAGGGAGGCGACCACGTGGAAATTATAGATGATGCCATTCAGGTGAAACCGGACGCGTTGTTTAAAGGAAGAAATGCCGTGATGCGTCGAAGGGTCGTTCGCGAATAAAAAAACCCAAGTGGACGTTCGATTTAGGATCTTACTGATCACCTCCAGGTTGAGCGCAATGACGATACGGGCAAAGTGGAATGCACCACTGTCGCTGAGCGACTTAGGCAAATCTGTTTCCGTGCGCTCATTGACGCGCAATCTGGCCCCTTCGACTTGCCGGAAGGAAATCGACAGCGCGATGAATAGATGGCAGATAAACTGCAGCATTTAATGAATGTTGATTCAGAATAGAAAGCCTCATCACAAATATCGTCAGCAGCGTCCTCGAACAAATTCTTCACGCGTTTCAGAGTTGTCTAGATAACATCTTCGTGGTCAAAGAACATGCACCGAAGGGTTGTATTGACAATGACCTGATTAGTAATCGCTATTTGCAGAGCATCTTCCGTCTTGAGATGGAAATGGACGGTTGCAGTACTGTCAGCTTTCCTAAATTCAGCGCGCTTGTCGGCTGCAGACATGGCTTATGTCTCTTCCCATTGCTCAGCATGTTAACCGAATGGCGGAAGGTGTAGTTATCTGTTTTGCATACTCCCGTCATCCAGAACTTGGTACACCTGGTACGCTTTCGCCTGCGATCGCCATCGTCAGTGTCTTCACGACCAAGATGAACAAAGAACAGTCAGGACACTGAAACAACTGCTTTCGTTTGCGGGTCGCGGCCTGAGACCTTTACCGCGTAAGTGAGCTCGTGTGTAGAATGAAAGCTGGTGTCGCGCGGCGTTGCCGTCAATGACTAATATGTAGGAAATAGCTTAAGTATATGCGAGTGAAATTTATCCTGTATCACATTTTAAGTATCTACGCTATACACGATGTTCTCCCTGCTCTCCTGTTCATTCGATTACAATGTGCCTTTTTGACTCTGGCTATGCCCTGAATTAGGTATGTTTACACAAGCCAAGATTTGATAGCCGCCCTTGCCGCGCGTATTTATGTCCGTCAAATCTGCCTCTTTAATCACATTTTCCAACATATCAAACGCCGCGCTAATAATTCGAAAAACTGCGATACAAATTAGGGGACATGGCCCATCATAACTAGCTTTCGTGTCTTTATAAACTCCTTTTTTTCGTGCATTATATCAATTGAATTTTTGTTTTCAAAACAATATGATTCAACACGAAAAAAGGGAGGCCTAGGTCACAGATAGCTCATAAGCTTATTTAAATAGATACCGTTAAATAATTTAGTAAATTAGTTATTATTTTGTAAAGGGAAAAAAATAGTGAATTGAAGAAATGTTCTTCTGATCCATGTACCCATGTCCCAATACACAAAGGCTCGAGATTTGCTAGCACGAGACCCATATATATTGAGCCAATACACAAAGGCTCGAGATTTGTCAGCACAAAGCCCATTTATTTTGAGCCGAAACGTTCTAGCAGACAGGGCTTCCAGCAATTCACATCATTCGATATGGCACCACGCTCGACATCAAAAGCGCATTGTATAAATGATAAACGATATAGAACTTTGCTAGGCGCCCGACAGTAGCTTTTAATATAACGATTGGAAAGTGCTGTCAGCTTAGGTGCTTCAATGCCTCATTTGAAAGATGTTTTTGGGTACATTACAGTCACTCAAAGGAAGAAAGGATTCTGAAATGCATGTCCGGTAGGAGCCTAAAAACTTCCAGTGCTGTTAGGAAATGCAACCTTTGATTGCTAAACAAGGGTAGTCCACCTGCCTAATAGCGATGTATATTGTAAACTGCGTCTTTGTGTATCATTTTAGTGTCATCGGTAGTTACGCAAGTGATTTGTAGTACATCCCCATTGAGGTGGCATCGTGGCCACTTTAGATCATTAAAATTGAGTGTTACGCCTGTTATTCATCGCGTTGTTCTGCGGATACTCCGCCATCTGATAAAATTTGGAGCGTGATTAGTTAGCGTGGACACTCGTAGCTAGTCCCTGGCAGACGATATTGTCGGTGAAAGGTCAAGGTCAAGGAGGTGTCTCGCATACGGCGGCCTCCTCCGTCATAGCTTGACTTAACGACGTTAAAGCTATAGACACGGTACGCCTGCGCCGCATATATATATTAAATAAAAGACTTGCATTCTGCATATTTGTTGGTTGTGGTGTGGTCCGCGAGGGATACGCTGCACATCCAAGGTATCGTGGTCGAGGCCGGAGATGAGGGAATTGTTATTACGGGAGCGTCGGCACCACCCAAGCCAGGTTCGATAAGGTATATATAAATACAAAAGAGCACAAGCAGCGCAGTATTCTAGTTGAGGGGGCAGTATTGGCACATATTTCGACAAATTGTCCGCAAACGCCTTATTGACAGCGAAGGCCGCCGCTCGAATCATTGTGAGACGCTGCATTTATTTTTAGGTCACGTAGTGTTCGGTGGCTTTACCATTAAGCGTTCCGGGCTCACACCTTTGACCACATGGAAGATGATAATAGAGCAC